CGGACCAGGGCTCGAACCCAGGTCCCCTGCATTGGCAGGTGGATTGTTTTTTGTTTTTTGTGTTTTTTTTGCGGTACGCGGGCCTCTCACTGTCGTGGCCTCTCCCGTTGCGGAGCACAGGCTCCGGACGCGCAGGCTCAACAGCCATGGCTCACGGGCCTAGCCGCTCCGCGGCATGTGGGATCTTCCCGGACCGGGACACAAACCCGTGTCCCCTGCATCGGCAGGCGAACTCTCAACCACTGCGCCACCAGGGAAGCCGTGGCAGGTGGATTGTTAACCACTGCACCACCAGGGAAGCCCTATAGTAGTCTCTTAAAGGGCAGGTCTAAGATGATTCATCTTTGCCTGCTATACTTATAAGTAGCACTAGGCAATTGATAATTTCTGGAATGGCTAAATGAACGAATGAATATGTGAATAAATAGACTTCTAGAGTAGCGCTCCTATAGGCTGCTTTGGAGGGGAAATGGGAATTGTGGATGTGATACATAGCCATAGTAAGACACTGGGAAAGAGGGTGCTCCCTGCCCCAGCGCACCTGTCTGCAGATACCGTTAGCCCAATTGTACTAAGTCCATTTAGGATGTATTTCCTGATGTCTGACATGTTCCCCGCTCAGTACTTGGCTTTAGAAATACAAAAGATATTATGTACCTTCACCTCTACACCCTTCAAATAGCAAAGTGTTCCAGGGCTCTGGCCCTTGGTATCAGGTATGTAAGTTCTAAGTTACATCCTCAAATGAGGCATTGCTTACCGTGCTGAAATGTGTCTCAGACTTACCTTATTATTCCCACCTTGGTTTTACTTTGCTTGGCTAACTTATGCTCTGGGTGTTTTGGCTAATCCATTCCCATGGTTCAGCTTATTGTTTAAAATTTTCATTCTAGTTACACTTTAAACTTGCTTTATGTTTAATTTTTAACTTTGTTAAAGCCACCTATGCTGTGGAACTCAGAAGAATTGGGAGTGGGAGCTTTTACATTTCAGTGTTTTCAGACGTTTTGGTAGACCTTTCTAGTCACCTCTCTCATTCCATTATTTTACACTGTTGGGAAATACTGTCATTTTATTCAGGTCAATCAATATAGATATTTGCTTAAGGAGGGACTAGAAAGCCATAAATAACTGTCAGGTGTCACCATGGAACTGTATAAGGGAAACGAGTCCACTCATTTGGAAATCTGATTTGATGCCTCCAGAACAATGGTTTCTCACACCTGTCCTCTTTATTCTGGTTCCAGCCATACTGAACTCTTAATATTTGAAGTTCTCAAGGTTCTCCTGTGTCACTCCCCAGGGTAAATCCTGTCTCCGATTCAGGACTCAGGTTATGCCTCTTGTCCCTTAAAAAGCCTCCCACTCCCTTCCACCTCCATCCTTCTCCTTCTAAGATGAGTTACTTGTCCCTTATGTCCATTGCTGTCATACCCTGTGCATAGTTGTATCAGAGACCTGGCCACAGTACATATAGCTGTTGGTTTGTCTGTTTCTTCTAGTAAGCTGAGATCTCAAGAGCTGGGCCTATAGTTGAATTCTCTTTTGTATCTAGAAGCTAGCACAGTGTCTGGTATATATTAGAAACTCAGTGATGCTTATTAATTAGACAATGCCAGCCTTCTAAGTTCATCGCAAGGATGGAAGCTATTGAGGAGTGCTGTTCACTTCTCTACTATTGGGCTAATGTTGTAAAAACATGAATCAATAATATTCTTACATGGTTATATATTTTTAATTGTAAACATAGCATTATTAAATAATGTTGTAAAAACATTCATTATAACTCCTGTGTAAAAACCACACAGAATTCAGTTCCTCATCAACTTCAGCCCTATAGGCAGTAATTCTGCCAGTTGGCACTTAACTATTATAAAAGTAGATGAACCAGACAATCATGTATATTCAGAAGAAAGGTGGATAAGGGAGGAATGAAGGATACAGAAGGGAGTGAGTTAGCAGAATGCCATGTGTTAGTTGCAAACTAGCACAAAGGTGAATGTGATTCACGAAGCTAGCTTGATTCAGAAAGGCTGAAATAGGAGCAAAGAGCAAAAGGCAACCAACAGTGAAAGCAAGGATTCACAGAGATCGGGCAGGCGTGAGCAGGTGAGCACACAGGTGGGGCCCGCGTCCTGTGGGATTGTGGACTCAAGCTCTGGGTGACATGGAAGAAGGAAATCCAGAGTGTGATGCTCTGGGGAGGCTGAGGGGGAAGGACTGGTGTTTACGACAGAGACAAAGATGCACTGAAAAGACCTTAGAAGAAGACGGGCATAGTGACAAACCCTAGCTGGCACCAAAGTCTCTAAAGAATTGAAGAGAGGGCTTTGTTGGCGGTGAATAAGGAGATAGCCAGAGAGATTGAGAAGACCAATTCTGAAAGCAGTGGATTTAAATATACTAATATATACTCTCCAGTCTATGTACATTATTTTGAGTAACGTATAAAACTTTGTAAATAATTAACACATTGGGAGAAACAATCCATCCTTTGAAGTTTGGAATCATGATCTTCCCATGGGTGGGTAGTTAATCTCCTTTTGGAAGGAAGTCAGCTATTATATTCTTATTAAATGGATGAGATACAGTCCCTGAGTCACTGGATCACTGTTCATCCCTTCAGGGTATATATTCAACACCTGCTATGTGCCAGTATTAAATTATATAGTGTATTAGAAGGTGAGAAGTGCTGTGGAGAAAAATAAACAGGGAAGGAAGGTAGAAGATGTACATGTGACCAGGTGGATTGCGATGTTAAATATAGTAGACAAGGAAGGACTCTCTGAGAAGGGGGCGTTTGAGCAAGCCTTGTAGGCTGTGTCATGTAAAATAGTGCACCATTATATGTGCTCCAAGTTGTAAGCCTTTCTAACACCATCCTTAAAGTAGCTAATCTTAAAGAAAAATGAGATTGGAAGTGGTGTTAGAAGGTAAGGGTTGAGAGCAGAAGGTGCGTTTTATGTGTTCATCCTTTGCTCTTTCTAAAATCTACTGTTTAGTTTACACTGAACACCTGGTATGCCTCTGCAGTTTTCACTTCATGAAAACAGATACCTATTATGCATTTTTTTTTCTCCTTGAGATTTCTTTTGGAAGAAAACAAATGTTTGCTTAATGGAAACAGAAGCTGGAGCAGTTTCTTTTCAGAAACCACAATAATAGAGAAAATATGAGTGAGCCCTGAAGAAGTTGATGTGGAATCAGTCATAGTGATGGAAGCAGGCTGGTGGCTGCAGAGCCCCTAGATACACTTCCTGAGAATGTGGAATATGGTTTGAGCTTTGAACAAGGCAATGATCTGTTAATATTCAGAATCTGAAAGGTTGTTTTTTTCAGTTCTTTAGATTGATCTACATGACCAGCCTAGTTGCTGTAAAAGAAGAATCCACCAAAGGGAGTGATTTAAGATGTGAGTATGAATCCGGCCAAGCAGCTGCCCTGTTACAGTGGTTGATTTCCTGAGATGAGCTTCCTTTGTTTGAGATTCTGAGTTTTCCTTTCCTTAGCCAGTAGCTCTCATTCTTAAGGACAGAAGTTCAGCCTTGAAGAGTGCTCAAACTGATAATTCTGACTCTGCCTTTGAGGTACTTCAGAACAACTCTAGTTATTTTAAGTAGTTTTACATTCCAAATGCAATTAACTTTAATTAGCTTTATTTTATATGATATGTCACCTGGGAAGGGAGGCATTTTGATAAAATGAACCCTGGGAGATCAACAAACCTGAGAATGATTAAGGATCCTCAATCTGTACTCCAGATATACCAAGTATTCTGTTAGAGATTTGTGGACTGGGAATGGGGACTTTGGAATTAGATCTTGTTTAACTAGTAGCTGTGACTCACACAAGGAGAAGTTCAGAGGTGAAAGCTGGATCAGAAGACCCAAAACTGTTTTGAGCAAAGTACGTAAAGGGCAATTAAGGAAGCCTTAAATCTTAGAGGATAGATATGGCATTCTTCATTAATACCGGGAGAAAATACAGCCTATGCAGGAGACATTTTTCCATGTATCTCATTCTAGGTTTTCTGCATCATTTGTACCCAACCTACCATGATACACAAATCCAGAACAAACAGTGCTGAGCACTTATAAGTTTTTTGTCTTGCTAAGGACATGTTAAGAAATACCAGGCAGTAACTTGCCATAACTCACCACTGACCTGCTTTATGACTTTCAACAAGTCATTGAGCCTTTCTGTCTTAATTTGCCCACCTGCTCCAAGTTCTTATGGAGATAACATGGCCTAACCCGTGAAGGATATTTTAAAAACCATAATGGTCTAGTTAAGTGTTTTTGAATTAAGTTGATTTACTTCCTTAAAATGTGGTTGAATGTGCAAGCCACTGGCCATATTGTTGTCACAGGTGGCCTGATTTTTAAAGGCTGTGAACACCCCAATACCAGGGACTTCGTAACTTTTTTATAACTTTATAACTTTAATTCAGAAATTGAAGCTTCTGTTTATCAGTCAAAAAGAAGAAAGAGGGAATTCCCTGGTAGTCCAGTGGTTAGGACTCCACACTTCCACTGCAGGGGGCACCAGTTTGATCCCTGGTCAGGGAACTAAGATCCCGCAAGCCACGCAGTACAGCAAAGAAAAGAAGAAGAAAGAGAG